GCTTAAAGAAATAACAAACTTGTATATAGGGACATTCCCTTCTCCCTAGTAATGGTTTGTATTCCGAAGTGTGCCCGTGCTTAATTAGTTTCAAAAGATTTGGCGTTAATCTAGTAGAATGACTTTTGACCAATCTGCATAAATAAATAAACAAAAAGTCATATACATGTAAGGAATATAAGTCAAAAATGCATTTCTATAATAGTTCAATAATTTAAGTAATCAGAATATCAACTGAACTACTTTATTAACATTAGACAAAGTCAAGAACAACGCTCATTTTTGCAGTCACAAGTTTAAAAGAGAAAACATCTTGAAGTTCTTCACGCATCATTTTAGCCACCATACAGAAGTACACACTACCTTAACAGATTCCTCCCAAATGAGTTAACATTCAATATCAGGAGTCAGGACTCGGTACCCTCAGGAGTACTACTTTTAAGGCTGGGATCACAGCTGGTTCCCAAGAAAAATTTTCAATTATTAGATATTATTAGTGAGTACCATGCTCTGTGAGCCCCATTCCTTTAATTGCACCTCATTCCTACACTGCATTCTAGCAGGGAAAACAAACAAGCCAATGGAGCATGTCACGCTATACCAGTCCACAATGTCACCCAAACAAAGAATCCTTTCTATCTCTCTAAATGCTATACAAATCACTTCTCCACTCCACCTGACGTGCTGTGTTCCTATCGGGGGACAAAGGAGATGCCACAAATCTCAATCTATAACCTCATATTTTGTTGAAAATGGCCAAATCATGCTAATTTTAGCAGAATCCTTGATGCATCATCAATACGGACAGACATGGCATGCAGGAGGAAGAGCATACGTTGACAACTCCAAAAACAGGAAAAGAAAATAACATATATCTATCACGTGTTGAATGGTTAAGTTATAACAGAGTAATCAAGAAACATCTTCAGTCACCTTATCACTTAGAAGTAGAAAGAATCAAAACACACATAGTATCTTACAATAAAATAAATATAATATAAAAGTTGTACCTCAACTCCATAGCCTTTCACATACACGTTAGTAAAGAGCTCAGAAGGTAACAAAATTTTAATAATACTAAAACAAAGTTTCAATAGTATTCTTAATGATTCTCCAAAACCAAGCAAAAAGGAAGGCTAAACTTCTCACCTTAGCTTGTGCAATTGCTTCATCTACTTCTTGTCTCACTTCTTTCTCAATATCCTGACAGAAAAAGTAAGAACAGCCAAATATCTCTTAATATTGTTGA